TCGTATGTTTCACAAACTGAAGGGACAACATGATTCACCAACTAAGATTACACGGGAAACGAAGTTGCTCATGGCTTCGCTCTTCCCTGATCCAGGCATTTGTCCAGTCCGGGGTACTCGGTGGGAAGGTACATTTCCCACGGACCACCGGACAACCTCGCAAACTTTGCGAGGGCTCCCAGAGAGAGAGACCTCCGGGGGATATCCCCGGAGGCGTACTTCCATAACCAGGGCGGCTATCGCCGCTTTCAGAGCTTCATCATCGTTTGACAGCCGCTGGAGTCTCACCAACATGGCATATATGGACCCCTTCTTGGTGGACTTCTTTGAGAAGGATGCAAAGTCTTGCATAGATTGCACCTTCAGCCCCCTTCCTTCCAGCAGGTACATTTGATTGCGTGTCCTGGGATGGATCAGAATCCTAATTGGCTCCATCAATACGAAAACCCGTGTGCCAAGAAAGTCGAAGGCATTTCCTCCTTTATGATCTGCTTTATCCTTGCGTACGAGGTTCAGACTGCCATCATAGCATGACTCGGAGGCTCGAAGAATGTCATGTGCAGACTTTGACGATTGGTCGTCTCCCAGGTGAAAGGCTACTACTACTGCCACGCCATCTATCATACGGACTCCCCTCACACGGGTGCGGCGAGCACCCAAGGATCTGACAAACGATGACTCGGCTCTCGTGAACACAAGGTACGCAAGTGCAGGGATAGAGTTCCTCCCCATGGGAATACCGAACTCCTGCTTCAGTATGCTGCCTGCGCATTTCACAAACGTGTTTTCTAATTCAAACTCGATGATCGACCGGATTATTTCAAACGATAAATTCACGAACCAGTTCATTTTGCTCCCCCCTCTCATCATCATGCAAATCTTCCCTCTCATGCTTACCCTCACCCCCTTAAATCCCTTAGCCGTGCTTGTCTGAATAATCCAATCTACAGCTTTCAACACGCTATCATGAGACAACCTTGCAAACATGTCCTTGATATCGTAACTCGCCGCCACTGCCCCATCTGCTATATCAGCTGGCCCTTCCTCGATCTCCCCCATCACTCTCTTTAGTTCATCCGTGGCCCTCATATCAAAGTGATACCTGCGGTCCAGCCCGAAGAGCATGTACCGAATGACTCTCCCTGCTCTTGCTCCTGCCAACCTTGCTGGGTCGTCGGAGGCCGGGGAAATCGGCCTCCATCTGGAGAGATCTTTATCCTTAGGGAGTACGTAGGCTTGTCCAATCTTCCCTCCCATTTGCCACCTTGCCACCTTCTCCAGTCCTCTCCGTTCGAACTCGCTTTTCATCTTCCTCAGTACTTCGTCCTCGGTCTGGTACACTTGCACAAAGCTCGGGTTGTCGTTAAAGGTCCTGCATGCCTCGCTATATAGCTGGGGGCAAAGCAGCAGCGTCGCCCCGGGATTCCTGTCTATCGGGACGGTGACCAGTTCCTCGAAAGGCCTCATAATGCTCCTTACTTCTCCGACTGTCAAGGCCATCGTCTGGTCTCCTCTGTGGTTCTGGTAGCATCTCAAAAGCTCGAGCTGGTTTATTCTCTCCTGTCGTCCTCTGATCCATGCTCCGACTCCCGTCAAGATACACTCCTCCAGAACCTTCGTGTGCACGGCGGATCCTGATGTCACGTTCTTCGAATTGGTCACGAAACTCGGTACTCCTTTCACTTGGGCGATCCACTCCTTCACATGTCCCTCTGTCAGCGAGAGCTCGATTCTGCGGCATCTGCACTGTGCGCTCTCCATCTCCGCAAAGGTCCGGTGGTTATGAATCACTCCCCCAACCGTCCTTCTCGTCTTCGCAACCGTCCTCACCTTCATCGCAACGAAGCGACGAAGGTAGGGGTCTGGAATTGCTCCTTCAATGACTTGCGCGACTATCCTTCTTACCTCCCCCATCCGAATGATCGGAGAGAATGGTACTTTAATGCATGGTCTCTTACTGATCTCGATCCCGAACTTGTTTCTCACCACGTTCGTGATCTTGGTTTTCAGCATATTCCTTACTTTCTTATCTCCGAATAGCGCACATGTTCTATACAGCCCCACCAGCTCCCGCGAATCCTTGCGGTACATACTCTGAATCCTTCCCGGATTCCTCCGCAGTTCTCGAAGAACGTTCCGACGATGTTCCATACTGGACGGCACCATACGTAGCCCAACCACCTGAAACGACCCACCTTGTTCAAAAACCTTCTTACAATCCCTCAACCGCTTCTGCCTACCATCTACTAAAACGGAGCTCAAGCCTATCTTCCCTTTCACAACACACCACTTATCTATCCATATGCTCCCTCCCGTTGTTACTAAGCGGTGTTCCCCCACTTCTTTACTCATTTCCCTGACCAAGTCCACGATCGATTCCTGCCCGTTGAACCAGATGATGGTATCTCCGGTCATCTCATACCTCCTCTTTCCTCTCTCCCTCCTCCCTTTCCTCTCTCTCATTTTCCCACCCACTCTCGCTAAGCCTTAGGTATTCAAAGCTGGCGTGAATTTCCTAATGAGCGACCTTTCTACTGTCAACGAGTCCATACTGTAGCTCATCAAAGGCAAGGCCAGGTAGTTTCGCCACCCAAAAACCTTCAACCAGGCATGTAGTTTAGGCGCGTTCCCCCACTTCCCACTTTTCGACTTACTCACATGATCTGCCCATCGAGTAATTACCTCCCGAGACGTACATCCGATGTAAAAATGTCGACACCGTGGACTGACCAGCACATACACACCGGGATCCTCCGTTGACATATCTCGATCCTCAGCCCCAACAATCCTTGTCCATTTCTTAGCCCAAGGGCAACCACCTCGAATCACGTACAGCACGAACAGTCTAAAAATCCGATCCTCCACGTCACTTCTCAAGCCGTTAACCCCTCGATCAATGAGTTCCCCTCTCTCGACCATCCTCCTACGCAGCTCGGCTAGTACATCCATACTGATCGTTATTTCTCAAAGATGGGCGAGATCTTACCGCTCTCAACGAATTCCTCGTATGCCAACTTCGCTTTGCACCTTACCAGTTCTCCAATGGCGCTGTCCTTCTTCGACCACTCAATCCCTTCTTGGCTGCACATCTTCCTCAACTCAGGAACTTTCTTCTCGGATAGCTTGCGATGAAGCTCGATGGCGAAATCGAGCATCTCCGTCCCACCGTTTCCGCCTTCCAGCCATCTCCTCATCGGTGGTGGAGTTCTCACTTCTTCGCTGTCTTCTTCAACCTTCAYAGGGTTCCCGTGAGAGCCCCTCYTCACATTCTTGGATATCCTCCCCTCCTCTTCAACCCTCTTCTTCCCCTTTCTCCTTTCAATAGCATCGATTAATTTCCCCGCCTCTTCTTTCACTTCTTCACTGTCATCGTCCGATTCTACCAGGTAGCTCCTAATCTCCCTTAGCATCCTGGCTTTCGTCTTAGGAAATTTCTTCTTTCCACTTACTTCTTCAGTCTTGTTACTTGAACGGGTGTGCTGTGTGAGCAATCGTACCATCCGTGCTTCCAGTCTGGCTTCTCTTGCCTCCGCTTCCTTAATCCTCTCTATCTCTCTCCTGTTTTCCTCTTCCCTCCTCTTCCTTTCCACTTCTTCCTTCTCTCTCCTCTCTTCCTCTATCTTCCTCTTCCTGATTTTCTCGCGAAAGTATTCTTTCATTTCCTTAGTCTCTTCGTCCACAAACCCGTTCGATTGCGCTTGGGGCGGTGGCCTCCCATTGCCAGCTGCCCAGCAATTGCGCGCGTAATGCCCCACCTTCCCGCATACATATCACGACACAACTCCTTGCTGATTCCCGTTCTGCGGTACACTTCCATACCCTTGAATCTGGGACGCTCCTTGGTTCTGAAAGTTCGCCATATCACCTCCTCCTCCTCAGCCTTCTCCTACTCCTCCTCCGCTGGTCTCTTACCACGCAGCCGACACTGTACAGTCTCCCCGAGAACCTCTCTAGTTCTTCGAACAGTTCTCCTCTGGCGGTTTCGTTGTTAAACTCTAGCGCGACAACTAGGTTCGGTACTAAGCTATCTGCCACTATGTTTTCTCAGTCCAACCACAGGCGATGGAATTCCTCAACACGGAAATTCCGATCCGTCATGTCTCATTCCCAACGTACGAAGCTCCTCTATCCTCACGTGCTCCCTCCCGGGATATCTCGTAATGACCCAAAGCCCAATCGATCTAGTGACGTGTCCTTCCCTACGGCCACCGACTCACTTCGGCAACGTTGAGGTCCCGTACGGAAGAAGATGATCACACTCCGCCGCCCACCGGTTCCTCACCGCGTGATAGATATACGGCGCCGTGCTCTCTCGGAGCGGTGCTCTCTCTCTCTCTTACTCACCAATGTCTCTGCTCTCCTCCGCTACGTACAAGGACGGTCATGCCTCGATACCGCGAAGAAGAAGAAGAAGAAGAAGAAGAAGAAGAAGAAGAAGAAGAAGAAGAAGAATCGAAAGGCGCCCTCGTAGCCACCGCCTGATGCAAGCAACAACGGTTACCACACTACTTGAGAATAAAGTAGAACAAAGCACAAAGAGTTACACCCGTCATTATCTCGACCACACTTGCTCATCTCAAAATCTTAACACAAAACAACACAGTACATGTTGCCCCTACGCGTTTCGCTGCTGGCGCACACAGCAGTCTCGTCAGGGGGCTTGATGTCGAGATATCCACACCTTCCTCTACACATCCTATTTATCCCCGGAGCTTCTACGTGTCCTACCTACTCGGCACTACTTCTCTCCTCACCTACCAAAGCAACTTGAAGAAAACGAGGTACTGATTCCCACWACATGCTTTCTTTCTCCTCCTACTACTATGGTACATGTATCTGGCTACGGGGTGAGTCCCTTTTCATACCCTCACCGGCTTTTTCCACCTCCCCAGACAACCCGCTTCTTTCCGCTTTTTTCCCGTTAGTGTATCCTCAACGTTTGCCATCGCTCCTTTCGGCGAAACTTCTCGGCTCTCGTCTCTGCGCTCATCCAAAACGGCTTTCACATCCCAAAAAAGCAAAAGGCCTCTGGCTCTTCCATCTGTATTCCTAAAGCTCGCACCCGGACAGTCATCTCAAAAACCGGGCTTCCAACATTAGTACATATTTAGGCTTCTGGCACAAGAAGACCGAAAAACGAAATGAACAAAAAACCGAAGAGAAAAAAAATATAGAAATAAATTAAAAAAATAGCGCAAACGATTCAGACAAAGATCTGATCCGGAAATCTACTGATCGGTACCTGGAATTCCTATCCTACTCGTATGTTTCACAAACTGAAGGGACAACATGATTCACCAACTAAGATTACACGGGAAACGAAGTTGCTCATGGCTTCGCTCTTCCCTGATCCAGACATTTGTCCAGTCCGGGGTACTCGGTGGGAAGGTACGTTTCCCATGGACCACCGGACAACCTCGCAAACTTTGCGAGGGCTCCCTGAGAGAGAGAGAGAGAGAGAGAGAGAGAGAGAGAGAGAGAGAGAGAGAGAGAGAGAGAGAGAGAGATGAGCGATACAAGTTTGGTTGTCACGTACCTGTGAAGAGCGCCGTGCAGTCCCACGAAGTGAAGAGGCGGCCATAGCCGCGGAGCTCCACCACAGAGAGGACGGAGGGGGAGACCGAGAAGAGTGAAGGAAGCCATAGCCGAGGAGGTGAAGGGAGAGACGAAAAAAAAAAAAGAGAAAGAGAAGACAGCCGGGGTGAAGAAGAAGGAGGCGAGGAAGGAGAAAGGAAGGAGAAGGGTGGTGAGGAAGGAGAAGACGGCAGCCATAGCTGACCGGGAGAGTTGACCGGGGGCGTTGACCGGAGTTGATTGGGTGTTGACCGGAGTTGACCGGGCGTTGACCGGAGTTGACCAGAAGTTGACCGGGGGTTGACTGCAGCGTTGACTGCAGCGTTGACCAAGGCATTGACCAAGACGGTTGACCACGATTTTGACCAAGCTGGAGCCGATATAATCTCGCCAAGCCTTCAGCCTATCCCCTCGCCCTATGGATGTGCACACACCCTGTGGTACTTGCTGAGTCAAGTCTGTATGTCTCTTTTTTCTGCATTGAGTCTCTTTTGTCCAGGTGATAGTACTCTATGGATGAAGGATAGGGCCTTGTTGACCAAACCCACACGGGCTGAGTAGGGCTAAAGACTGTGTCTGACGACTCGACTGTCCCGGAGGACATGAACCCTCTCAAGGACCGGTACTGACCGGCGGGCTGCTCGGTGTGGCATGGTAGGCCCAACATCCGAGTTGTGGGCTGCACAACAGGCTGTCTAAGTCTTGAGAGGACCTGCTGATCGCGTCGTCCTGTCTGCGACATTAAGGAATTCCAGAGGAGTTACAGGGGATCTCCTTAAATGCCTCCTGATCAGCAACAGGTCCTGTAGTGACAGCCTTAGAGTAGGTCCAGGCTACAGACCCTAGGTGACAGGATCCTGTCCGGATTCTGTGGTCCTTAGATTGAGTCAGTAGGTTGAGTCAGTCAGGGGGAGTAGAGTCTAAGTGGTGAGGAGTGGAACCGTTGTTCGGTTGTGCACCAGACACCATGGTTGACACCTGTAGTGGGAAGAGTATTGCCCCCTACACCCAAGCTCAAGAGGAGCAAGCCGCCGCCGTACTGAGGGAGAGAAGGGAGAAGGAGCTCCTCAAGCAAGCAAAGTTGAAGACGATAGCGGAGGAGTAGGCAGCGAAGAAGAAGAAGTTGGAGGAAGAAATGAGGAGATTAGAGAAGGAGGAGGAAGAGAAGAGAAGAGTTGTTGAAGAAGATGCAACAGTAGAGGACGAAGAAGTAGAAGATGTACCCCTCGACAGGAGACACAGGGAAGCACGAGGGGAAAGCAATGGCACAAAGGGAAAGGATGCGTGGATGGAGAAAAAAATTAGCGAGTGGGTAGCTAATTTATCGTTGGGAGAGGATGAGGAGGCACTGTTGTACGTGCCTCAAGAGGAGAGAGAAGCATTCGCTAGGGAATTGAAAGTGATGGAGGACCCCCTGGATCACCAGACAGCAGAAGATGAAAAGAGGTTGGAGTGGAAGTTGCGTCTGACGAGGGAGAAGAAGAGAAGTAGGGAAGAAGCCAACCGAGTGGCTAGAGATGTGGAAAAAGTCCGGGCTTGCAGACAAGAGGTGCAGGCACAAGCAGAGACCCCCACGAAGTTAGACAAGATTCTGGGGTACCTTGAGGTTCTGAGCGAGGCCTGGCCTGAGGAGCATCAAGCCAACAAGGGTCAAGATGTGACCCTTCATGCCATCCGGTCAGGGTTTAGAGAGTTTGCGCGCGACGTGGTGACCCACGTCGGGACCGAAGCAAAGAGATTGAAGGAAGGCGCAGAGAAGTTCTGCGTCGGCGCCGTTGAGGGCGCCAATGTAGTGGCCACAGCAGAGGCCACGTCGCGTCCCCCCGCAAAGAGTTTGTCAAGCTCAAATTTCCTAACGCTTATAGCATGAAGAAAGACGATAGTTTCGATAATTGGGAGGCTAGCATTAACACATATGTCTATTTACAACATATTGCCCCAGAGGAACAAGTCCTCGTAGCCTTCCACACACTGAAGGACAAAGCAGCCAGCTTCGCCAGGTCCCTTGCGCGCACCGCCGATTGCGAGCACAATATGATTGCTTATTCTAGGCTCACCCCTCTCTCCACTTTCCTCCAACTCATGCGTGAGAGGTTCGCTGACGTCACAAGGGGTGCCAGGGCCTCTGACAAGCTCCAAACCATCCACTCGCGACAGTGGAGGAGTGTGCGAGCACTCAAAGCTGTCATGGACGACTTGGTAGCCGTCCCAGACCACGGGGTGACTGAGACCCAATTGGTCCAATTATTCTATCGTGCCATGCCAGAGCCCTTGCGAGGGCATTTCTTCGATAAGACCCAACAACCCAACATCACGTACGATACGTTGAGTCGAGAAGTGGTCCTGTTTGAGGCCAAGTCCATGCCAGTTTCCACTTTCTGGCATAAGGACTTAGATAATGGTAAAACGTGGAAGGGTCGTACCATCTCGGGCCAAGTCAGAGCCAAGGATCATTTGATCCTTACTTTAGACGAAGGTGGTACAGATGAAGTCCCCTACAGTCAGATTGAGTGGGGGCTCGAGGAAGAGGATTGTAGTGTAGGCCAGGGAAGGACCTATGCTGTTGTCGCGGCTGGAGGGAGGCCACAAGGTAGAGGAGGCCAGGGCCAAAGGGGCCAGGCACGGGAGGTCGAGGACCAGGCGCACAACGGATTGGCGGTCAAAGGAGCCGCCAAGAGGGAGGTAGGGGTCAAGGTCCCCCCCCAAATCGTCAAGGTCCCAGTCGGTCCCCGCAGCGACGAGGTGGAGGATCACCTCAAAGGAGAGGAGGTTGGCATCCAGGTTGGCCACAAGGTCGGCCTTGGGAAGATCTGGGTCTGGACAAGAGATTTTGGCAACACCGTATAGACCAGGGGCAGTGCATATATTGCGGTGAGCCAACCCAGATTATTAAATATTGTCCTAAATATAGACAGGCCCGATGGGCTGCCCAGGAGTCAAAAGGCAGCCGTCGGTAGGGGTTGCAACTGCCCCTACTACTAGTCCATGTGGGGAATCGACAGAGGTTGCAGGCTCGTGCCTAGTTAGCTGTCCAGAGACTGTTTGTATCAGCATCTCTCTAGGCACTTCCCTCACACGCGTGACAGAGGAGTTCAAGGAGAGGATGCCTACCTGGGCCAAAATGAAGAAGGATAGTGAGGGACAACTAGTCTTAGTGGAT